TTTGCTCCCCCAATTCTTGTACGCGCAATGTTTTGTTCTTTTCATTCAAAAGTTTAGTAGTTATTGATTTAATTTCGATCATTGTTGGTCACACTCTGGTTCTTTCTCTGTAGGCGTCGTCTCCACGGTGGTGCCTGATTCGGCCCATAAACTCTTCATTGGCGGTCTGCCAAATTACCTCAACGATGACCAGGTTTGTGTTAAAATGGCATTGTGTTCCATTCACTGACAGTCCGTTCATTGAAGGGACGCCGAGTTATGCCTCGATTGGGCAGCGCTTTCAGAATCAGATCTGCCAATCTTTTTACATTTTATGCTTTACAAAATGAAATACAAAACCTTTTCATGCTCCACAGAACAGTTGCTTCTATGATTTTAAGCTCCCTTTTGTCAATATGAAAAATGCATATACAGTGGTGCTTGAAAGTTTGTGATTTTTCTATATTTCTATATAAATATGACCCAAAAATCATCAGATTCTGAAATAAGACAAAAAAAAATACAATCAGACAAATGAGCCAAAAATATACTGTATATACTTTGTCATTTATTTATTTATTGAAAAAAATGATCCAGTGTTGCACATCTGTGAGTGGTAAAAGTATTTGAATCTTTGCTTTCAATATCTGGTGTGACCCCCTTTTGCAGCAATAACTGCAGCTAAACATTTCTTGCAACTGCTGATCAGTCCTTCACAACAGTTTGAAAGAATTTTAGCCCATTCCTCAGTACAGAACAATTTCAGTTCTGTAATGTCCTGTGAACTGCTTGCTTCAGATACTTCCACAACATTTCAATTGGATTAAGGTTCGGACTTTGACTCAGCATTTCCAAAACATTAACTTTGTTCTTCTTTAACCATTCTTAGGTAGAACGACTTGTGTGCTTGGGGTCATTGTATTGCTTCATGGCCCACTTTCTCTTGAGACGCAGTTGTCAGATAGATGTCCTGACATTTTCCTTTAGAATTTGCTAGTATAATTCAGAATTCATTGTTCCATCAATGATGGCAAGCCGTCTTGGCCCAGATGCAGCCAAACAGGCCCAAACCATGATACTACCACCACCATGTTTTTCAGATGGGAAAAGTTTCTTATGCTGGAATGCAGTGTTTTCCTTTCAGCAAACAACATTTCTCATTTAAACCCAAAATTTCTATTCGTCTCATCCATCCATTAAACCTTTCTCCAGGTCCTCTGGTTTGTCCACATGATCTTTAGCAAACTGCAGAGGGGCAGCAGTCTTCTTTTTGGAGAGCAGTGGCTTTCTTCTTGCAACTCTGCCATGCACAACATGCTTGTTCAGTGTTCTCCTGATGGTGGACTCATGGACATTAACATTAGCCAATGTGAGAAAAGCCGTTACTTAGAAGTTACCCTGGGGTCCTTTGCAACTTCATGGACTATTACACTTCTTGCTTTGGAGCGATCTTTGTTGGCCAACCACTCCAGGGGAGGGTAACAATGGTCTTGATTTTCCTCCACAATCTGTCTGACTGTGGATTTGTGGAGTCCAAGCTCTTTAGAGATGGTTTTCCAGCCTGATGAACAACATCAACTCTTTTTCTGAGGTCCTTAGAGATCTCCTTTGTTCCTGGCTGCCATAATTCACTTCCACAAACATGATCAGACTTTGATAGATCCCTGTTCTTTAATTAAAACAGGGCACGCACTGACACCTGCCTTTCACCCCGTTGATTAAAAACACCTCTGAACAGATGGACTCTAATTTCGCCTTCAAAGTATATGCTAATTCTAGAGATTCACATACTTTTGCCACTCACATATCTGTTATATTGGATCATTTTCAGGAAAAAATAAATTACCAAGTATATATTTTTTCTCAATTGTTTGATTGGGTTCTTTTTGTCAACTTTGCGCGAAAATCTGATGATCTTGTGGGTCATATTTATGCAGAAACAGAAAATTCTAAACAGAGTTCACAAATTTTCAAGCTCCACTGTATATATTTCATTTATGATTAAAAAGCAACAAGTCACTTGTTCACAAATGCTCACCGATGTATATTTATTTGGCCAAAATACAGTAAAAACAGTAATATTGTGAAATATTATTACAGTATAAAAGAGCTGCATTCTATAATTTTAAAATGTAATTTATTCCTGTGACAGCAAAGCTGAATTTTCAGCAGCTTTTCTAGTCTCGAGTATTACATGGTCTTTCAGAAATTGGTCTTCAGAACTGTTTGATTAATAGAACATTCAAAAGATTTTGTTTGAAATTTTTTTTTTTTCTTCTAGTCTTTACTGTGACTTTGGATCAATTTAATGCATGACTTTTTGAATGGTGCGTGTGTTTATATTTGTAAAGTTTTACATAGTGATTTTTCTCTGTTCCACAGGTCAAGGAATTGCTGACATCGTTTGGCCCTCTGAAGGCCTTTAATTTGGTGAAAGACAGCGCAACAGGCCTCTCTAAGGGCTATGCCTTCTGTGAATATGTTGATGTCAATATCAGTGACCAGGTGATGACAACGCAAAGCTTTACACCTTCATAATCAGCCAGTAAATGCTCAGCAAATAACACGCATTTGTCTTCTGCATGTACTGTTGGCTTCGTTGTTTTATATTTATTACATGTACTGTTTGATATTGGCTTTATCCGTAAATCTATGAGAAACAAATATTTAGCTAGAATTTATAATGGCATGAGCTAAAGGCAATGTCAGAGCTGTTGGTTGACACCCATGCTAACCTCTCCAAGGCACACACTGTTTACTATCACAGGCCATCGCGGGGCTAAACGGGATGCAGCTGGGTGACAAGAAACTCCTGGTCCAGAGAGCAAGCGTCGGCTCAAAGAACACCACACTGGTGAGGGAAAAGTGTGAATAGTGTATAGTTTATTTACTGAATGTAGGCCATGTAGACCTTATCTTCTGTTTCTCACCCTCTTCCCTGCTTTCTTTCCTCTGAAGACGGGTATAAACCAGACACCAGTTACCCTTCAAGTTCCAGGTCTCATGAACAGCTCGGTGACTCAGATGGGCGGCATTCCCACAGAAGTATTGTGTCTGATGAACATGGTGGCTCCAGAGGAGCTGCTGGATGATGACGAGTATGAGGAGATCGTAGAAGACGTCAGAGAGGAGTGCTCCAAATACGGCCAGGTCAAGAGCATCGAGATCCCACGTCCCGTTGATGGCGTGGAAGTTCCTGGCACTGGAAAGGTTTGAAAACTGCTTGTACATTGTCACATTTCAACGTGACCATTTGGAACAGTTATTTATGGTCTTTTTTTTCTTTGTCTTAGATCTTCGTGGAGTTCATGTCAGTGTTTGACTCCCAGAAGGCAATGCAAGGCTTAACAGGAAGGAAATTCGCCAACAGAGTGGTGGTGACTAAATACTGCGACCCTGATGCCTACCACCGCCGCGACTTCTGGTAGAGACAGGACAGAATCCAGAGCGAGAGAGACTCGGAGAGATGCAGATGGTGTGATTTGAATCTCTCGAAAGCCCCTTATTTTGTAGATTTATGAGGTCTGGGAGAGTGTGAGCTTTTTAAATTCTGGCAGACTAAAAGCATGACTTGTGATTGGTTAGAATGTAGCGAACCAATCATTTGTCATGTTTTTTTTTTTTTATGATGGCAACAACGTTGAAGTATGTGCAAAGCTTTAAGATGGGAAAATGGACCGTACCATGTCATTATCTACAGAAAAGGATTCAGTTAGACATGCCACTAAACTTCCAGCTTAATTTTCACATAGTGAATTTACATGTCACTTTATCTCAATGTTAAATTCCTGCTCTATCATCTGTACAGCTCACGCACTGGTCAGATAGGAGTGAGAGGAGGATGTAAAGGAGCAAGTGCGGAAAGAGAAATGATGACAACTACAAAAATGAATGTTACACTCAAACAAGAAGGTGAGAGGGGGTATTTCAGGAGAGAAGTCTTTGTTATTTGGATATGGTTTTATATTTAGGCTGTGAATGAGGTTTCCTGTGTAAAAGTGTAGAGGTTAAAAAGCCAGAGGAGTTTCCAGGTCATCTTTTGACACCATATATGTATGAGGTAAAGCCGCTACAGGCATCTATCTTGTAGAGGGTGAATATTACCAATTACGTCTATACTATCCTCTATTTCCCCCCTCCTCCTCTGTCTTTTTCCTGCTATCTCTCCCTTCTTTTATAATAGTTGAACTGTTTTTCGTGAACCCTATTTTCCTGGCCCGATCTAACCAAATTTATACACAGTGAAAAAGATTCTCCTATTTTTTTTTTTTTTTTCTACAGGCATCTATCTTGTAGAGGGTGAATATTACCAATTACGTCTATACTATCCTCTATTTCCCCCCTCCTCCTCTGTCTTTTTCCTGCTATCTCTCCCTTCTTTTATAATAGTTGAACTGTTTTTCGTGAACCCTATTTTCCTGGCCCGATCTAACCAAATTTATACACAGTGAAAAAGATACTTGTCTCATTTCAGTTTTTTTCTTTTTATACATTCTGTATCTAACTGTCCACTGCTGTTTTTTTAAAACTGTAATAAGCTGAGTTGATTTAATACAATGCGTTTATGTATGAAGACCAGAGAAACTTCTGGTGAAATAAACTTAATGCATTTGAATTGACTTGCTACACACTGCATCTGTATTCTGCCAGCAGATAGTGCTAACAGGCACTGCTCACTTCAAGTAGTGTAGTTCCAATACGGTATCTGAGTATTATGAGCAATGGGTCAGTCAGTAGTCAGTCTGTTTTTAGAGTGGGGGGGATGGGGGGGGGTAGGCTGGTGTATGTTTGTTTTTTTTGTTTTGTTTTTTTTGGTCAAAGAAAAGAAAGAGGACAAAAATATCAGAAATATGTTGATTGCTGATATTCATGTGTTTCTTTAAGTTGACTGGAAATGCTGAGAAATAGAGATTGAGGAGTTTAATGTGCTTCACAAAACCAGTAGATTAAACTGAATAAAGTCCTCTGCAAAGACTGGGAAAAGAGTCGTTTATCAGGTGGTTAATTTTAATAGAAGAAGAAAACAAATTATTTGACTGGTTAGATAAAAATTGTCTCTGAGTCTACCGACAGCTACAGACTACCTGATGCATGTTATGCAAAAAAATGTCTGAAAATGAATTCCAAATTGACCAATATTTTTTAGAGTGCCAGGAAAATTTGTTGACAAGCAGAGCTCAACAGTAAGGTTTTTTCAACTTCTGGTCCAATCGGACCAGCAATTCAGATTTTTATGTGCCCTGCCGCAAAAGAATGATCAGTTTTAATCTTTAGCACTATATTAGATTTTATTTTATTTTTTCCAACGTATTCACCTGGAAATTATTCGGCTACAATGTAAGCCAATTAATTAAACACTTTTGCTTGAAAGTAAAGGCATATTGTACAAAACATACTGACTAGTTCTCCGTTTTTGCAAATTTGACACCACCTCATCTATGTTAGCCAGCTTGGAAACATTATCATGGTGGCGAATCAGCAGTTTGCAACAATGTAGAATGTGTTGTTCATGGTGCCAAGTCTTTGAAAGATGTAAATGCATTTAGTTTGTAAATGAATAGTATGCTTTTATATTTTTTCTTTGTTAAAGTTCAATGAAATAGTTCTTATAACTTTGGAGAGACAGAAATTCTGATCATATAGACAACAAATGTTTTCTATTGATTTATGGAACGACTGTGAATGAACATCTACTAATGGATGGAGGCACATGTTCTGTTGGTTAATTAGTGAGCATCTTTCTGGCTTCATTATTTTCCACCCACTGGTAATACCCCATGTTATGTTTTACAGCCAGTTCTCTTTTTTTTAACACTTTTTCTTTCTCTCACATCCCCCTTTGATTCAATGCCATCTATAACTTGCTTAGCTGCTCTATCAGCTGCTTTCTCTCGCCTTATAAACAGTCCTCGCTCTCTTTTCTGTCTTTGCAACTGTAACTCCCATGCTCTTAATGTCATTAACAGGTGCTTGTCCAAAATAGAAGCCTTGCCCATACACACACACACACACACACACACAAACATCCGTGGATCAGCTGACATACACTCGATTTACTTTCCCACAGACATGCAAAACTCACACTGACATAAACTGGAAAATGTCAAATCTGTCCATGCGCCGATAAATACTCTTGCCTGAACCTTCTGCTTGGTGATTAAGCTGTCATACATTCATACTGTCATACGTAGACTCTACAACTTGATTTCATGAGCCCCAGTCCCAGTTTTCTCCACCCTTCTTTTTTCTGTCCCTCTCTCTTTTTCTCTCTCGCTCTCTTTACGTCCCTCCTTCTCCTCCTCTCTCAGCTGAGTTTCATGTATCTAGTCATCAGATCTGCACCCACACAGAACAGGTCAGGATTCGATTGCTCTCACTGTTGCTAAAGCTTGATGGCTTTTCAATGCACTTGCTGCACACATGCATACTGTCATAGTTTAATAAAAATCTGTGACACAAGCCTTAAATTTCATTTAATAGGTTTATGCTGGGCAGCTTATTAAAATATGGGTGCATGGATGTATTGATAGAAGTATAAACGTATTATCTGCAGACTGCTATGGTTGTAATTGATTTTGTGTATTAACCCGATTTTAAAAAACTGCATTCATAATTCAGTTTTTATTGCAGCAGATACTTTTTGTTTTTTGCTTTTTTCTTGCTATTTGATACTCTACAAACATTTCGGCAGTTATGTGGATGTAATTTATTTTGCTGAGAAATGTTTATACATTGTTTCTGGATACTATATAGTAGACCTAATGTGCAAATGTGGGGCTGAAGACCAGTTGCTTTAAAATGATAATTGGTTTCTTCCATTCTGACTGCCAAAACGGTCTCTTGACTGAGATGTGAGCCCCTTGCTATGGGTGCAGATGTTTTCCTTTTGAGGCAACAACTTGCAAATTATAGTGGATTTTATAGAAGCGTAATGGTTTTCAAGAAAGTTTTGACAGAGTTGTGGTAATATAAAGAGCTGTGATGGAGATGATCGTAGTGGGTTAATTATAGCCTGTGTGTTACATTTCCAGATCGTGTTTAGTGTTTTGATAGTGTGTTATATCTCAAATGACACATAATATGGCCCCAAAAACCTTTACTGAATATCTAGTTTTATATCTGTAGAACAGTGTGTAGTCACACATTATCTGTTTTTTTACTTGTGTATTGACTTAAAGTTGAATATATGGAATTAAGATGATTTTTCGCACAATATTTTTGTTTTAAGCATAAAGCCTGCCATATTTTATTTCATGTATGTTTTTTAAGAACAAGATATTTTTAATATTTTTGAAAGAAGGCTTGTACTCTCCGATACTTAATATATTTTATCATGCATAGAGTAAAAAAAGTAATAATGTGAAATAATACACTTTTAAATAACTGTTTTCTATTTCTATTATATTTTTTAAATGTATCCAGATTTGGTGCTTAAAGATAATTTCTTATTATTTTCAGTGCAAAAAACGTTTTCACCTTTGATGAATAGAAAGTTTAAAATATCATTTATCTGACATACATTGAGACAAAAGTCTTTAGTGTCACTTTTGATCAATTTAATGCATCTTTGCTGAGTAAAAATGAAAAAAAAAAACCTTACTGACCTCAAACTTCTGAATGGTAGTGTATACTTTAACTATTTGCCAATGGGGCAAACTTAATTCAAAAATAAACTTCAGAATATGTAAAATAGTGTCTAGAATGTTCAAGGAAAAAATAAAATATAATTAAATGTTTTATTTAATATTAAAATGTATTTAATAACAATAATTATTTGTTTGAACTATATTTTACTAAACAAATATAGAGAGAATTTGAGCTAATTCAAGAATGTATGTGTGGCATGTTTGTGAGTGTATCATGCTATCATTTTGGCTATGGGCCACATGCTTGTTTCTAGCCTTGTTGTGTTCTTATTGCTCCTGTGTGGGTGATTGGCCTCATCAATGAGCCTTGTTTTGTAGTACTCCCTCCCTGTACGGGTACAGTGATAACGACTTTAGACCCTCTGTCGGTTTGCCTGTCACACATAAATGAACACCTATTGCTCCACCTGGCTCTTCTTTTCGCCTCCATTCTCAACAACCTTGTGTTTCATCCCTTAGTCTGTTCAGTCCACGTTAAACTCTTCCTGCTCTCGCATCTTTTTTTAGAGTAGCAGAACGCCGCACACCTTGAAACTCTCTGTCCATAGATCTAATAGTTCTCTGTACACGTAATGCTCGGGTATTTATGAGGCCTTAAAATGGCACAGATCAAACAGGCTGGGCTAAAGTGGGCCGAGTTATGCGGGTATGTGTTGATATCTTGGAGTCGCATCTGGCATAGCTAATTCTTAGACAATGTGACCTAATCGTGACCTGTATTAACCTTCTCTGTAAGCTTACTGCTTGTTTGTTTACTCAACAGAGGACAAAGGTATAATTTTGTTTTCAAAGTATTAAAGGTGTAATTCACCAAAAAATGCAAAAGATGTCATTATTTACTCCTCAAGCTTTTTCAAACCTGTACGAATACTTTTTTCTTCAGAAAAAGATTTTTTGAAGAATGTTGGTAACCAAACAGTTGCTGGTCCCCATTGATTTCCGTAGTATTTTTTCCATACTGTGGAAGTCAATGGGGACCGTCAACTGATTGTAGATCTCTGATAAAAGAAACTCATACAGGTTTGGAACAACTTTAGGGTGAGTAAATGATGACATCTTTTTCATATTTGGGTGGACTATCCCTCAAAGGCTGTTCTCTGGGCCACTAATAACTGGATTAGTTATGACCTTAAAGAGAAATTAAATAAAATTGTATTTAAACTGTCTTGTTTTCTAGTATAAAATATCAATGGCATTAAAAAAAAAAAACAGTTTTCAAGATCTATACTCTAAAAACAAGACTTATAAATAATTTAATTAGACCTTTTAAAAACTAGTTCAATTCTAATTTTACTTCTAAATTAAAAGGTTTAATTTTTCAGGCTTGTGTCATGAATGAACATGAAATTACAATAAACAAAAGAATATTTTTGAATTAACATTGAAAATGAATAATTGCTGTTAAAAGCTAAAATTGCCTAATGCTAACAAATTCATCCTTATAGTAGAGTTCGAATTAAATTAAAACAGTAGAATTGAATTAAAATTACAATTGTTAATTAGAAGTAGCAAGCATCTTGAATAGTTTTTCTGTATCCCATTGGCAAATTATTATTGTTTTTTAACTAAATATTTAGTGACTAAAGGAAAAGATCAATTGTAGATTTCTGATAACTTTATCCTTGAGTCTTTCTGCTACTATTTATGTACTATGTGTTTTGAATTCTAGTCTTTTTTTCTTTTTTTCTGCAGGTTCATCAAAAAGAGGAATGTGTCGTCTTTTCACGGCTCTATAAGGCTTCAATCCAGTGTCGTGTCTCTCATCAAGTGGTTCTTTTCATATACCCATTATTCCTGTCTAGTTTCTTATCAAACCTTCTCTTGTTTGTAGACGTCAGTTAATTCCCACTCTGCGCTCTTCAGAAATGACCCCCTGTCACATGAATTTCTTGCACGCTGGATTCCTTTTGAATCACAGAACATTGTAATTCACTATCATTTCCTGTTCCTTTTTGAGCTTTCTATTAATACACCTCTCTGCGTTCTCATTATCCGTCCGTCCGTCCGCTTAACTCCAGACTAATGTCTCTAGTCTCCTGTTTTTTGCTTTAGTTATTTGTTTGTCCCCTTTCTTGACTTTGCCTCTGGGAGTTTCGCCACTCATCTCCAAGCATTGTGGCTGCCATGTGGTCCAACTTTTTTTTGCAGCAGAATGAGGACGGGAGAGCAGGTATGGCAGCTTTGGGTGGAGTTGGCAATAAGAGCGGGCGTTCAGGTAAACGGCCGAGGCCCCCTCGAATGAGTGACAGCCAGGAAGGCAAGATCAAGCTGGCATTTTTCGTCGCTCTCATAGGCGTGACTCTGACGGTGCTTGGCATGGGCACAGAGTTCTGGGTGGAGCTATCCCAGCCAAAACACTTCAGGAACAACCAGACGTGTGAGATGGCACATTACGGCCTTTGGAAGTCATGCGTTTGCACGCTATGGGTGTCAGATATTGACCCAGAGAGAGAGAGCTGTGGACCTGCAGAACTGCCTGGAGGTGAGAGTACACACTCACACACCCACTGTCTGTACTCGGAACAGAATACTACCACCATACTTCTCTCACTGTTTCTGCAGTTTTTACTATGCAGATTTTCTGTACGCATAACATCTGGAACACTTTCTGCATACTGTCTCCCACAATGCAGTGTGCTCGATTTGTAGTTTGTACTGAGTACAAACTACAAATCTGTTTCTTGACTTGATTCACTGTTTAGATATATAGTCAAGTCTCTTTTGCTCATCAAAGCAAAAATACAGTAAAAACGATTACAGTTTAAAATAACTGTTTTCTATTTACCTAGACTTTAGTGTCACATGTTCCTTCAGAAATCATTCTAATATGCTGATTTGGTTCTCACTTATCAATGATTACTTCCTACAAGAATAAATAAACAGCACAACATTGATAATCATTATAATATATATTATAATAATAAATAATATATAATTTATATAATATTAAATTATATTATAATTTAATTATAATAATATAAATATATATTAAATAATGCAGTCTTAGTATTATTAAATAATGCAGCATAAGAAACTTCTTAAAAAATAATAATAATAAGTTTTGACAAGTAATATGTACATATTACCATCAAACAGGAGTCTCTTTTTGTGGATTTTTTTTGGAGGGGGGGGGTAATAAGCAATTATTATTTGGGTTATATTAATTATTAATATATTAATGCAAAAAAAATTTTATTTCAAAGATATGATAATTGTACACTACTTGATAAATTAAACGTGCAGCATAATGAGATCATGGACAATAATGTAGAATAATTTTGTTAAAAGCATTTCTTGTTGCATAATGCATTGTTTCACATACTATTTTTAAGTTGATAGTTTGATAGTTTTCTATTCTGAACATAGTCACCATATTACACACCTTACCAAACCAGTGTGTCATTTGTTTGGTTCCTGGGGAAACTGGAGGCTGAAATCATGAGATAAAAATACTAAATAATAAGGAACAATAAAGAAATGATAAGATTTACTAAATTAACACAAATGATTTAGTAAGAGTTTTTTTAGGCTTTAACCATTTCATTTATTATTTGTTTATCATGTATTGTTGGAAATGTGAGCACATTATACAGCATAGTATAGCCGGGCATACGTATATTTATGTATCTGGGTTAGCAGCAGGAGCAGATCATGCATAATTATTTTTAAAGACACAAAGCAGCATTCAGCTCACATACAGTCAAAGCCATGATGTTATTAATGACTTGACTTTTTGAGACGCTGCAATAGCTGCATAGTTTACCGTGTTCTGGTTTGTGATATTAATCTTACCTCTCATATAACAACAGGCATGAACAGAGAGCCAGGGAGTTTCGTTTGTAAGGCCCAGAGGACTGTGATGATGTCTCTTGTAACAGTGCCACTGGTCCGACTGCCAGCTCTGTTAAGGAACAGTTCCACTCTCTACTTGAACCTGTCATAACAGATCATTACATGACACCCCTTTAGCTGAGACTGCAGAACAGCAACTTTTGGGCCAATTTTTTTCTGGCAAAGTGGGCAAGATTTACCCAAATCCAGAGAAAATGCAACTAGTTTGGTTTCTGCATCGATCTATATATTTCATACTGATAATGATAACAAAAAATTCTTAATAGTTTGATGCTGGAACCCTGTCATTAGATAGAGATGCCTTGATTTCATTCTCAGTTATGACTTCCATGATGCATTTTTAAGGGATCTGTTCAATATTACATTACCAGCTCTATGCTGATCATATCTAGTGCAGCTCACAGCATTGACCTTATTTGACTGTGCGTGTATGTGCGAATACATGTATTTAAATTAGGCTGTCAAACTAATTTAGTACAATTAATATATATTTATTATTTATAGGCTACATTAGTATTTTTAAATCAATGTAAATATATAACACATTTAAATTATATTTATTTGTCAAATTATAAAACATGAAATTATATATATATATATATATATATATATACATATATATATATATATATATAAACCCAGAAATAATAGTGTGCATATAAAAAGGATTTTTCATACCATATTGAAAAGTGACTTTTAACTTCTTTTAACTTTAAGTGTTTTAAAATGTGACTTTCATAGTGAGATATGCTAGAAAAAACACAACATGGTTAAAAGCATGACTGCGATTCATGTGTACTTTAAAAATCAGCATAGTTGGGCAATGCAAGAATGTGTTCTGCGTGACCCTGAATCAACTTTGAACAAATTGACAAAATATGGATTGCAGTGGACTGTAGGTTAGTTATTGGTTTTTCACTGATGTGAAAATAAAACAAACAATATATTGACTTCTAAAGACACTATGTATTTCTAGTTAAAGCTTAAAATGATAAGCTTATATTATTTGTGACTAAATCAATTGAGTAATCAGAATATAATCGATTTAAAAAATATTAAAGAATATAAAAGCATATAAAATCTCCAAAATGAACAAGAAAAAATTTATATTAACTTTTGAATGATTAGATTATTTTTTTTTTTTATCAATTAGGAGCTGTAATATGACTATACAAATTTGTAGTGGACACAGATTGTTTTTAATTAGGGGAAAGTTCTGGAAAAAAAGATGTGTGTGCGGTGGGTCACAGTTAAAGCAGAAAGGTCAGTCATATTGCGCATGGATAAACATCCAATCTGACTGCTGCCCAGTTTCAAGTCTAAATATAGAGGACATGAGTGAAAAATTTGGAAATATAAGAAGACAACAGACAAGCTGCAGAGGACAAGAGAGAGTGAATGTGGATTTGATGTTGTATTAACCTGAGTCTGTTCTCTCTTCCTTTTTCTGCCCTTCATCCTCTCTTTCCATCTGCCTCACTCTCGCTCCCTCCCTCTCCAGCTGCCTCGCTCTCTCTGTCTCTCTTGTTCTTTCAGTGCCATATGTGAGAGGGCTGCTCTGTGTCCTCGGCACATTAATACACAATGACCCTCACAGGGCTTACAGCAGAAAGCTCAAGTGCCTTTTTCTGTTTTTCTGACTGATCTTTCTTCACCTTCACTGTCTCATTCTTCTCTCTCACCGTCTCATTTTTTGCCCTCAGAATCAAACTGCACATTCTTTAAATTCTACACTTCTGGAGAGAATGCTGTCATATTTAAGAAAACGACAGAAAAAAGTAAGTTCTTCCTGTATAATCTGCCCTCTTTTCTCTCTGCTGTCTGTGTGCTCGCTCTCGTCTATTCATTCTCTCTCTTTCCACGCTGTTTCTCTCATTGAAAATCAGTCATGTTTCTGTCTCCTCCCCCGCTCCATGTCTCTCCATCTCTCCACATCTCATACTGTGTACATGCACAAGAATGCATCATGAGTGCTCTTTCTTGTTTCACTTATTTCAAGTGCATTGGCATAATTAATACCCCAACAAAATATATGCCCAAAAGTATATGGATGCCCCTTCTTACAGCTTTGGCTAGGCTGTACACTCTTAAAAATAAAGGTTCCAAAAGGGTTTTTTGGAGCGATGCCATACAAGAACCATCTTTGGTTCACCAAAAAAACATTTAGTCATCAGCTCTAAAAAAGAACCATTTTTCTTGGTGTGAAAAACATTTTAATAATCTAAAGATGCTTTTTTCACTATAAAGAACCTTTTGTGCAATGGAAAGGTTCCATGGATGTTAAAGGTTCTTCGTGGAACCATAAATGCCAATAAAGAAGATTTGTTTTTAAGAATGTAGTTCACCAAAAAAAGAAACTTCTGTCATCATTTACTCCCCATGTTGTTCCAAACCTGTATGACTTTTTCTCCCATGTGGAACCCAAAAGAATATATGTACTTGTAAATTTTTTTCCTCTGAATTCATACGCTAGCTTTGTGTAAGAAACAGACTGAAATTTAAGTTATTATTCACAATTCTCAACATTATCTCTGTATAAAACAGATCCAGATCGGTTTGATTCTTGACTAAATAATTCACACTGGTATTGTTAACTGGCTCAACAGATTCAATAGCCGCTTTTCCACTGTCGGGCCAGTGCGAGCCAGTGCTTTCAACGGGCTGGGCAGGGCTAAGGCTAATATCCTCAGACCTGTAGCACCGGGCCCAAAATCACGCTGTGTTTCCACCGTCGTGCCAGAAGCTCCGCTGCGCTTCACTAAAACCTGCACTTTACACTCTTTGGAACAACGCCACACAACCCCATCATTTCACCAACAAAACGAACATGATAAGAGCGGCCATTTGTTTGCATTTTATGTTGTTGACAAAGATTTAAATCCAAAAGCATCTCTGTTTTACCAGTTTTACAATAATAAGTGATGCATTGATCATAATGAATTAATTTGTCAGGATTGAAAATTAGTCACACAGAAATAAAGTGGTATTTACCGTTATTTCACAAAAGAAAGAGGACACGCATACTATTCAGTCACGTCTGTTTCTGTTTATTTGTAGTCGCAGTATACATCACATTTAGAAATAATAATAATTTCTATATTTCCATCAAAAATACGACCTGAGCAGCAGAGGAGCCTCCCGAACAAAAACTATGATTATGATGCTATGGGCTGCTATGATTATGAGCTAAATATGAACATCAGACACTCGGGTATAAAGAGACGAGCCTACTGACAGATAAAATTTGTTACTAAATACACGATTGTGATAGCCTAGCCTATATGATTTGTCTGATTTCTTCAAGCGGTTGTATTTAACATCTTTACTATGGTAATGGCTAGTGTTCATAGTCTTTTGCATCGATTACAAATATGTATGATCATAATCCACATCGGATCTCAAACAGAAGTTATTTAATACACTCGCTGCTGTCGGAAAGTGAGTTTTGAGCTGAAATTATTTTAAAAGTCTTTAATTCAGTTGTTATAGCTGTTAACTATTTGAAATAACCCACACCGCTGACGCTCTCCAGACGCGGAGAAACTCACTGGCTATTGAAAAGATCTGACTCAAAAGAGCAGGTAGTTGATGAATCAGGCATTGCTACTTCTCTTCAAGATTGCCAGAGATCGACAACAGACTTCAATATTTTTTAGTGAATAATGACTCCATTTTCAGCCTGTTGCTCACATGAAGCTCATGTCTTGGAATATAGCTCACATTTTGTGATAACCAGTTGAGCTAATAGTGTTCCTGTATCTCCACTGGTAGACCATAATGCTATAGCCACATAAAAATAATTTACTGCTTAAAACCAGATTCACCTTTGGGATAAACTGGAATGCTGAATGTGTGCCAGATCCCATTGGCCAAAATTGGTCCCTGACCTCACTAATGCTCTTCGGTTTGAATGGGTGCAAATCCCTTCAGCCATGTTCCAGCATCAAGTGGAAAGCCTTCCCAGAAGAGTGCAGGCTGTTCGGGAGAGTCATTAATGCCAATGGTTTTATAATTAAATGCCCAACAAACACAGCAGGGTTTAGTTTCCCACATATGTTTGCCTATATTGTTTAACGAAGGAGAATTATGTCTTCGAACAAATATGACTCATTGCTTGCTTTGTTTCTCTCTTAGGTTTGCATATAGCAGGTGCAATGTTGGCTTTGTTGAGTTTGTTTCTGATGATCATGGGCTCTGTGTGTATCACTATGTCTCTCAGTAAGAGTGTGCCTTTCTTCCTCAAGCCTGCTACCATCTGCTTCGTCTCCTCAGGTACCTCTTAAACATCTCATACCTGCATTCAGTGACTTTAAAAACACACCAGCACCATTCAGCTGCACTAAATCTGAAGTAGTTATGGAGGAGGCTCAAATTTATTGACGCATCCTATGAGTCAATGTTCTGGACTTAATGGGGGATTGGCAATGTTCAAGCGCACCGTGTCCCATTGCTGAGATTCTAAGCTTAAACCTCAACCTCAATCACAATGTCAGGCATCTCAAGAAATAGAGATGGCTGTATTTCAGTGTCACTTCACTAATCATGTGTAACCACTCATGTTTAATATGAGTTTGAGGTATATCATAAGAAAACAGTTGGAGAAAAACATTCCTAATGTACTCGCGGTGAAGTTCTTTTTTCATTATTCTCTTAGGGTGAGAAAGTGGTGAGAAAGCAGCAGTTAAGAAAGCATCTGATCATATCCATGTGGATAAGTTTGCACCAGCTTTGCAATTCGGCACTCCAGTCAAGTCATGTCACGTTTATTTATACAACACTTTATAAAATAGTTTGTTTTAAAGTCAGCAATTTGCAACATGAAAAAAAAACTGTGTCAGTGTTGCTTCCAATTAAAATTACAAGCTAAATTTTTTACTATAAAGCAGTTCTTCAGTGTGTTCGTGTTTTCACTAACGTCTCAACTAAGTAAACTTTTAATGAGTCATTTAAAAAGAGTCATGAAAAAGCCTCCGACTCACTCGAGAGTTTACACATTTGAATCAGACTTGAGTTGATTGTTGTTGAATCGTTACCGATTTCATAAGTAATTCCCTCACTGAATCACAGCTCATGGAAATGAACAAGAACACGCTACCTTGACTTAATTAAAAATAGAGATCTGTTGGAATCAATTAATAATGGCATTCCAAGAAAACATTTAAATATTGTAAACAAACAATGTTACTCCAAAAAAAGCAACAGTTTGCATCAATCTTTTTGAGTTTATGACAGCTTCTAATGAAATGTGTAATATGTGTAAATAACCAACTTAGAGCAACTTCATTTGTAGCATAAACAATTATTATTATTTTTTTTTTGTTGCTAAAATCACTTAATGGAAATTTCCAGGTACACTTAATATGAAGTCGATGTAACAGTCGGCATTATTTTGTCAACAGAGCTCATCAAAACAGTTTTGCAACTTAAAATAATTAATTAAATCATTAAATTAGTATTTGTTAACTTTCAACCATGCATTTAAGTTGTAATAGGTCTCCTGGTTTTCTTTTTAATCATTGTTTAGCATATGAGATCCATAAAGTTTTAATTTTAAATTTTTAAAACAACTTAAACTGTCAGCATATAGTGACCGCAGTTACAAGCCAAAGTAGGAAGCTATGTACTGTGAAGCGGTTCAGAAAAAATCTTTGAGCAATTTTGTAATTTACCAACTACAAATGTAATTCTGCTCCTGAGTGTTTCACATTGAATTCAAATAGTTGAACCGTTCCTTTAAATAAAATGACCTTTCATCTCCACTTTCCCCAGGTATCCTGGTCCTCCTGTCCATCATAGTTTTCCACCAGGCTGTGCTGGCGTTATTGGCAAGCGATCATAGTATCCCTCTCCATCACGAGTTGTCCTGGTCAGTGGCGTGTCTTGGCTCGGCTGCGGCCATTCTTATTTTTGGAGGGCTTATGTTCCTGTTGCTTTCCCTCCCCTACAACCCCCTGGAGAAATGTTTTCGTCAGCAGAGCAGTAGTGATGCCTAGCTGTCAGAGGACTGCCAGCGAGTTAAGTAGCACAAGATCTTTTATACTCTTATGCTGCTTGTGGAGATTAACTGATGTTATAAAGGACTCTCAAAAGCTAATGTTTTGCAAAAACTAGCATTAGTTTGCTCATCGATAAGATTATAGACCTTAATGCTCATACACCGACTCTGAAATTTAAACTGATATTTCTATGATGGTTATGTACATAAAATCAGTGACCAACAGATCTGTTTACTGTCTTGAAAGGCTTCATTTACACAACATGCTGTGCTATTATGCATTGTCCCTTTATCTGCATTTGTATAAGAAACCTTATTTGATTACTAGGCATATAATACTGACTTATCAGGTATTTGTGGGTTGAAAGTGTTGATTTTTTTTTTAGGCCATCCTATCAATGCTAAAGCCTTGTTCCCACCAAGAAAGATAACTATATTAGTGTCAGATAACATTCTGGTTATTATAAGAGCACACTGCTGTTTTAAATGCTTGAGCTCTTTAAAGTTGAGTGGATTCTGATTGGCTGTCAGTGCTTTTATCATTCATCAGCTAGAGAAAAAAAATAATTCTGAAAATGATTCCCGTAATATCGTTCCTCTGTGGCATTTTCAATATAGCTGTGGTGCAGACTTCTCTATTCTCATAGAATTAGAATGATTATTAAAACTTTATAGTTATAGTTACCTTTATAGTTATCGTCATTGGTGCAAACAGGCCTTTAGAATAAAACTGCAAACCAGCTTTACAGGTTTATGCTATTAAGAGATGGCTTGTGTACCATCATAGCCATTCTGTTTAATAACAAGACTTGGCAGGTGAGTTTCATTGACCATAATTATGTTTATAGTAAAACTGTTTGACCAGCTTAAATAGTCTTGCTATAGTTAAGCTAGCTGTAAAACCAAATGGGAAACATCAGCACACTAGCATCACAATGTATGCTGGTGACCAGCTAGTGATCCCAAGAAGTGACACTTTTGGACACATTCAAAAATGTGTCCAATATTTTGTATAAAATATTGTTGTAATAAAATATTTTTTAACTATATATATAATATTTTATTATTATTATTATTATTATTTTTTTTTAACTTGGAAAGTCTTTGTACCATCTTTCTTTAAAATAAATGCTACTTTGTTTGGTAATTAGCTATAACATTTAATATTCATGCCTTTAAGTGTCCAAATACTTTTTGGGATCACTTTATACTGGTCTTTTCTGCTGGTTTTCAGTGAACAAAGTCATCAGCAGACTAGATATCATAGATTTCAATGCATCGATTTAATGGGATGGTTTATTATTTACAGGTGAAGTCAAAAGTTTACAGAAACCTTGCAAAATCTGCAAAATGTTAATTCTTTTAAAATAAAAGAAAGGATCATACAAAATGCATGTTATTGTTTATTTAGTACTGACCTGAATAAGATATTTCACATAAAAGATGTTTACATATAGTCCACAAAATAAAATAATAGTTGAATTTATAAAAATGACTCAAAAGTTCAAAGGTTTACATACACTTGATTCTTAATACTGTGTTATTACCTGAATGATCCACAGCTGTTTTTTGTTTAGTGATAGTTGTTCATGAGTCATTTGTTTGTCCTGAACAGTTAAACTGCCTGCTGTTCTTCAGAAAAACCCCTCAGCTCCCACTAATTCTTTGGTTTTCCAGCATTTTTGTGTATTTGAACCCTTTCCAACAATGACTGTATGATTTTGAGATGCATCTTTTCACACGGGGTGAAAACTTTTGAACAGAATGAAGATGTGTACATTTTTCTTATTTTGCCTAAATATCATATATTTTAGTTTAGTACTGCCCTTCAGAAGCTACAGAAGATACTATCACATTTCCCAGAAGACAAAATAAGTTAAATTTATCCTGATCTTCAAATTAAAAAAGTTTACACCCCTGGCTTTTAATGCATCGTTTTTCCTTCTGAATGGGGTCATTTTTATAAATTCAACTATTATTTTCTCTTGTAGACTATATCTAAACATCTTTTATGTGAAATATCTTATTTAGGTCAGTACTAAATAACATGCATTTTGTATGATCCCTCTTATTTTGGTAAAATAATTAACATTTTGCAGATTCTGCAAGGTGTATGTAAACTTTTGACTTCAACTGTATATAAATGTAAAACGATGCTTAATACTATACACTTGAAACAGATGTGTTTCTATTGTGTGTATAAAAATGATGTACGGAATCGATTGATGTGGATGATATGGACCCACTGTTGAGCCACATTTCTCTGTAAATACTGTTTATATTGTACTCCTGCTTTTCTTTATCCCTATACTGAAGACCCTGTCCTTCACTGAACTTACTACTTTCTTTCATGTCTGTTCTTCACTTGGTTGTTTGTGTCACTCTATATTCGTCACGCTCTTTCTCGTTCACTAGTTTTGCTTGAGGATTAAATCTCTTTCACCTAAGACAGTCTCCTGTACTCCTTCCCTCGCTTGTTTCTTAATCTCACTCCTTCTCTTTTGCCACTCGCTCCGTCTAAAATTAGCGCATTGCTCATCTAAGCACATCATGTTGAAGTGGATGAGAAATATTATCCTAGAATGTCAACTATGCCCCCCCTCGACGTTCTCTCCCGATGTTGATGGCTCTTGGGTGTCTCCGAGTGTTTGGGTGGAGCTGCGTCTGCCGTCCCGTTCCTCCCCTCCCACCCGAGTGTTTGTGAATGCAGTGCCGGTACATTTGGGAAGTGAGGAAAGGTCTAAGCCTCCGTAATCTGTGTGTCTTTCGTCCAGTCTAACTAAAGCCTCCATCCTGTGCGTAACAATCTGGATCTCCTCAAACCGCAGAAATGACAGGTGGCGAGCATGTTCCTGGAGCAACCGTCTCAACATGTCCTACAGCGAGCTTATTACTGGCCCATTTAATTAGGTGAATCTGTAGCATAAGAGCGTGTGGGCTGATCAGATGGGGGGGGGGTAGGGGAATTGGAGCTGTAGGTTGACACTCAAGCCAGGGGTCTGCTTGTATATATAGCCCTTTAATAGTGCCTGTCGGTCTAGCGGGCTGTTCTTTCACTTTTTATGTGTACGAGCGCATGGGGAGGAATAAAACAGGATCTGCTCGTGCAGGTTTATTAATTGTTGGTCGGGACCGAAATGAGTGCATGTTTGTGGGTGGGTACAATAAAAACCTCTAGACAGTCCTCCAATAGTGAGAAAGTGATGGCCTGCCCATCTGGAAATCAGGAAAAAAAAATAGGTCAATATTCATTTACCCAAATTATACACAGAAAATGGTCAAATTCAAATATGATTCTGCAAAATATCTAGATTTTATCTGTTAGAGGAATTTTTTTTGTTCTTTTTATTTTGTTTTCTAATTTAGTTTTTTTAAGCTGATTATTAGAACAGTGGTTCTTAACCTTTTTGACTCAAAGGCCCCGTTGTTTATATGACTTTTCCAGCTGTTTGTGATTTACATAAGGATAAGGATTTTTTTTTTCGCAATTTCTACCCAATAAAGTATTATAGTGTTTGATGTTACTAGAAAAAATGATATTCATTGATATTGAAAACATTCATGGACTTTTAAGATTTTATAAATTTTATGTGACATTTACCTCATATAAAGAGTCTTAAGAGTCTTGGTTCTTCAAAGGAAAAAAAAAAAGTTGTCGAGGGGTGAATTAAAATAAGAAATATCTTGGTTGTTTTGGCTTATTTTAATACAAAATTTTCCTTATTTTAAATTAGTTTAAGGCATCTTGAGGCCTCCTTGAAAATTTCCTGAGGCCCCCTAGCGGGCCCCGGCCCCTGGTTGAGAACCACTGAATTAGAAGTTTATGGAAGCCTGTTTTGTCCTCAGAGTAAAAAAAAAAAAAAGATAATGGTGACTATTTTCACTGAATTTTGACTTTGAAACTGTCACTTTTTTTTGTATTTTAAACTAATCTCACAATTACCTATCTACATTTTGTACTGTGAGATGGAAACGTGCTTCCATGAAAGATCATCTTAGTTATCTTTTATAGATAAAGATGTTAAAAACACACAAATGACATCACTCGTAGATTGTCTGTTGTTTCTTTTATATATAAAATTCGTGCAATACAGTGTTAAGAGTTTATCACACATTAAGATAAACCATATTTTCTCTAGATCTATTCTCCACTACGTAATATTTATAACTGACCACATAAATGCTGTCTGTGTAGTTTTTCAAATTTTTTTTGTATGAATTAAAAAAGACCCCCGACTGCAGGAGATTGTGATTTGATGCCCATTTGCACTCTTTTATGAAATGTCCTGTGTTGACCTCTAGTTGGCTGGGATCATGGAATAAAGGTTAAAGGTTAGCAGAATGTCCACATATATAATCTCTCATTTAGAGAAGCAGACGGATCAAAGGGAGTCAGGTGCAGCACAGTGAACATTTGTTTTTGTGTTGTTGTTTTTTTTTGGATGGGAGTTTGCCTTTGGGATGCTTGTCATGATCACATGACACGATGGAGGGAAAACACAAAAGACACAGGGCATGCCCCTACTACGAGTCTAGCCCAATCGGAGCTCAAGGAAGACAGTGTCCTCATACATATTCAAAAAAGCCTGACCCACCCATTCTGCCCTTTTCAATACATAAAGACCCCACCCCCCTTCACATCTGTACTATTTTTAAAATATCTATTTTTTTCAAATACAGTTATGTGTAATATACATTTGCATTTTAAAATGTAGTTGTTTTTTTTCCATCCTCCCTCCCTCTGATTTGAAAAGCACAGTTTTGGATAGAAGTCCCTCTTCTGAATGCCATCATTAGTCATTTTCTCTATACAAATATATCATCTGTCCCTCTTTGACCAAGTGAGGGAATGTTTTAATGCCCCAAAACAAAGGTTTTCAATTCAACAAGTGCTACTTCTACTGCTAATAGTGATTTTAACAAAAATAATATGATGTTAGGTTTATATAAAAATCGTTTTCATTTGAACTCTGTCATTTCAGTCCATCAATTATGGTGCCGATCTCTTTACTGAGCTGGAAGACAGATATACAGATATTACACTAAATTGCATGTTATCAAAGGGTAGAAAATAAAACTTTTTCAAATAAATAAAATGCTTCTCACAAAGTTAGTCGTCGTAGTAATAATCTTCTCACACACATTGAACACACTCATGTTTCTGCAGTGCTCAGTATCACGTTTTGGAATCACAGTCAAAAATCTTTGAAAAGCAAAATAGTCTTTCTAGTTTAAAAACTAGAATCATTCAACATGTTAAGAGCTAGCAGTTCTAACGTCGTCGTAATAACAACAACACTTCACAGTCTTGAAATTCCACGCCTAAAATCGAGCAAAATAATATCACAGTATTCCATGATAATAGTTTCATTAAATCAGTACTGAAGAAAAAAAAAAAAAATGAGGTGTTGTTATTATGAGATGTTTGTCATTCTTTTACTCTTTATTTTTTCATAAAGTGAAACATTTGTCAACGCCGAGAGACTTTTCCCCTTTTTAGTTGTTGTCCAGTCTTTCCATCTACATTATCTCTCGCTTTTGCGCTTTATCCACTACGCCAACCCTCTATCTGTCTACACTGGTGTAGTTTTCCTATTTAGCGTGTTGGAGTTGCTCTCTCTGTCAACTTTTCCTAGCCTATCCAGCGTTCCCATCCCTCGTTCCCGCTCCACCGTAGAGGAGGAGAAAGGTGGAGGCTGGGAGGACGGGACGGAGTTGCTGAGCGGCGCGTTGGAGTTGGAAGAATTCTGGACGACTGAGGGATTGTGGGGTTTGAGCGAGGGCAGCGTCCCACTCATCATCATACCTCCTCCGCCCCCTCCGCTCTCTTTCGGGAAGCAGTTGTGCAGCTGGTATAGCGTGGCGCGGTCCACCGTGCCGTACAGCGGAGGGGCGCCCAGCCCTCCCAAACCACCCAGTTTGGGGTCTCGGGAGAGGGTGTAAAGGGAAATATCGCCCCCTGGCAGAGCGGAGCGGGAGTGAGGGTTGGGTAGAGTGGACACAGAGATGGGCCCCTGAGAGAGTAAAGCAGATGGGGGCATTCCGAAGTTCTTCCCCCCCGGTGGGCCGCCCACGGGAGAGGGGTCTCGTGAGCGCGAGGGGTCTGTGGATCGAGAGCTGGAACGTGATCTGCGGCGGAAGCGGTAGCTCGGGAGCCGTAGCATGGCGTGAGTGGTGCTCTTAAAGATATCGGTGCGAGAGCGACAGCGGAGCTCCTTGTTCTTCTCGATGTAGATGTTTACCGCCAACACGCCCACCATCTCAGCCAGGATGAAGGACAGCCCGCCGAAGTAGAAGGACCAGCCGTAGGAGTACTGCCATTTCTTATCCTCATCCTTCTTTGGGGAAATGTCACCCAGAGCGGCAGAAATGTACACTATCACACCAATGATGTTACTCAGGCCTAAAGATCAATGATCAAAAACATGCCAACTGATCAAAACTCTCAGGTACAGAGAAATACAGAAAAAAAAAGATTCTGAAGCATTCACAGTCCAATCTGGCAATTAGGTTTTATCCGATAAAATGTTTTACATTTTACAGTAATATTGTGGATCATTCTGTACAGACATACAATTAAAGACTTTTTGTAATATTTTATTTAGCATTTTATAGCATTTTGTGGTGTTTTCTGTTGTCATATTATATTAAAATAATTTATAATATAATATATGTATTATATTGCATTCTAGATACACATTTAATTATAAGATTACTTCCCATTTTTTATTTGAGTTTGGCAGATGCTTTTATCCAAAGTAAATTTAAAATTAAATGTGCATCCTGAATGCAGTGTAAGCTGCTTTGGATAAAGGTGTCTGCCAAATGCATAAATAAAAATGGGAAATAATATAATATAATATCGTGCATCTTACATGCAATATAAGATACACATATATTTTATTATATTAAAACTATAAATATTTAAATTGACAGATTTTTCCATGTATGCATTAATTCACGTTTAATTTTATTTATTTTTTTAAATCCCAGATTTAATACTTTAGGACACCACAGTGTATGAGACATTTTTCTAGTATAGGTAAATATTAGATGTAATTTGACATTTACTCCTGGACCAATGCCTGTACACACAATGCACACACTTTACCTGCCGCTACAAACAGAATGCCAGCCCCCAGCACGATGTTCCTTTTGCTCTTGTAGAAACGGCTGGCTGCGATACAGACTCCTCCCATTAGCAGCAGGATGGCACTAAGAATGGGAAAGATGTTGGAGGCCCGGACCACTCCTGCAGGGAAAGAGAGAATAGCGGAGTAGAGAGACAGATGGGAGAGGGTGAGAGACGGAGAGCATTATAAGCGTGAGACATGAAGAGTGCAGGCGAATCAATTCTGTTCAGGTCTTTAACACTGTACATTCATATCTCCACACATTTTTAGGTATAAATATTAAGCTAAAATGAGGCACCTG